CAGCTGTTAACAGTTTAACTTGGTGTATATGGTCGTGACAACTATGGCAACTATGTCAGGAGCAAAGCAATATTATTTATACAGCATCTAAATAAGCAAACAAGTGAGCCCCCCTTCTAAATAAAGGGGGAGGGGGGGCTTGTGCTCAAGCTGTATCAAGGGCGAGGTGTTCTCGGCAAGCTAACCTTCGTTGGTGTGGTGGTGTGTTGTGGAGGTGTTATCGTTTATCATTAGGTGGTTGTCATTGATGTTTTTTGTGGTGCTATGAGTCGTCTTTACGCTGTGGTGAACGTGATCCGCTACTAGAATGAAGCACTGCGATACTGGCACCTACGCACCGGCTGGGATATTGCCTGAGAGTTTAGTGTAAACAAGGCTGCCATCACTCCGCGAGATTTCACCTGCGTGCTGTTGATATGTAACTATCACCGCTTGTTTAACACTTACGTTGTTCGCAAACAAAACCTGTACGGTGGAGGAGCTGGCACTACATAGCGTTGCGATTGCTGCCCTATCTGCTATAGAATCACAAGCGTGATATCTATAGGTCATCGAAACATGGTAGCCTCGAAGAGGGCTCAACATGAGCTGTAGCAAGTAGAGCTGTTCAATAAATGTTTTGCTTTCAGTGCAGCACAAATATGCATTGTTCATAAGAAAGTTTTCCGGCTTGTAAAACGAAGCTTAGCTCAAACTCCCACAATGTCATATTTTGCAAGGTAAACAAGTACTTTAGGAAGGTTGGCTGTTAACATCACATGTCTAGCTTATCTGGGCAATGTTAACAGAGGCAGTTGGTGAACACGTCGGCCAGTTCTCTTGTTTGTGGCGATGCTAGGTATGTTTTATTTTATACCTCCAAAATTAGGCGCAAGCTACACCGATAATTAAGTAGGCCCACAAGCCTACTGCAGTGAAAGAATAGTTAAACTCGTGAATAGGTGTTTTGAACTTAATAACACGTTTGGAATTGATCGATTGCATTACGAGAGGTTCTGTGAAAAAGCAGCTTTCTTATAAATTTTACGCATGCGACAACTTTAACTGACCCGATAGAACGTAGCTACTTGTGCACGAACAGGTCTGTCGTAAATATAGAATGTTTTTGCAGTTACGTATTCAGCAAATCGATCACTGAGAGCATGTCGTCTTGCAAAGAAAGTCACATTTTCCAGCTATGAGCCTACGAACACGCTTTCAGCAGCTGTCGATGGGTTGGGTGCACTTCCTGAAGTCGGATGGACAGCATCCATTCAAATAAATCATTATAGTGCATCTCTTATTGTCTCTCCGAGAGTCCAGATAAACCATCCTATCTTTTTTACTGATAAAAGTTGCGGATGTGTGCACATAATGGTTTTTCAATACCGTCATGCGCACTTGTTTGTGTTTTCAAACATTTTCTTTTTTTCTTTGAGATTGAACAGACACTTTCGCTAAGAGACGTAACCAACTACGCTCTGTACTATGAGAAGCAAGCAAGCTTGACACAGCCACGGCAAGATATATGAGAAAACTTATATGAACATGCACTCATTAATTACGCAAATGCTCTCGAAGCACGCGTGCAGAAATACCTGTTCAACGCATGTTATATTTTCGTGTACGTCATCACCTGATTAAATGTTTTCCAAACACTGAAGGATTTTTTTAATTATGAGAAATTTTCTTTGCTTGAGCACCATGGCAGGACGCGCAGCGTCCAGACGATGCCTACACATGCCTCGGTCATTTTCACTCGGCTATGTACTCGGTTGTCATATAGTGATTAGCATACACGACAGCTGATGAAATGGTCTCAAGTTCGAATCCAGTGTAATTGTCATGAAAATTCTGTAGTTGGCTTCTGAATTTACTTTCTATGTATTGGTTGTATATATTTTCAAACGCAATCGTCGACCTACAAGTTCTCGGTAACCTAACCAGAAATTGCAATAAATATATTTTTTGAGAAAGGGCAACTGTTAGTCCCATCACATCAGGAGTAAGAGTTCGTCCTAACGCCGTCACTTCCTCCAAAAAAAAGGGGAACATTTACATCTTAACATTTCCTCCATCAACACTACTGAGAACTAAACAGTTCGTCCCCTGACAAACGCTCCCGAAAGGTCAAATCATTCTTCGGGAAGATATGGTTGTGGTAAAGCAGTTACTTTGCAAAAGAACAAGTCACAAACCCATTTTCGCCTTTTGCGGCTAAGATTGCACGTGAGCTGAGAATAAAGTCGCCTTTTCTGAAACAGTTTATGTTGAAGATCAAGAAAGTATATTATTTCAAATCAAATGCACAAAACAGTGTTATACAGAAATAACTGATGTGCCTTTCAACACACATCTCTTTGAGAAGGCTTGAACATGGGGGTTTCTGTGTATTATACCACAGCAATGCGTACGTGCAGTTTAGATTTTGCTCTCTAGTTCATGACGAACCGGAAATGACAAGCATCTAAATAGATAAGAATCTGGTTAGTCGCTATAAACTACCTATTGGTTCATTTTTGCCTCGAAAGAAGATGGCTATTATGTTAAGATGATACTTCATAAACATACAAAAAGCATAACTTAGTCTTGCTTGTTTTACTTGTTGGTAATGACTAGGATACTGATGTTTTTCTTGCTTCTTTGAGGATATTTACTGCAGGATCTAGAACACTTCCTGATGCTTCTATGTGACATCTCTCATTCCAATATCCGTTCCCTGCAATATTACTGGAAGCAAAGAAATTCAGGCCCTTCCATTTGGATGCTTACAATTAGCTACACGAAACTGTTGAGACGAAAACAAACAGCGCTATACACCAGAACACAGCAAGCTCAGCGCTGCTGCCATATTTAGAATGCGCGTTGCACCATTTTTTGCAAGTGCGGTGAAGCAACACCCTTAACTGCCACGCGAGCAGACGCTCACAAAATCAAACGCGAAACTTTACACCCTGAGTACGGCTGTTAGCATGTTTCGTACTTTTCATCTCCAAGAATATTGTGCTGTTTTTTTTTTTCTGGGAGATGTTGAGAAGGCCAACCTCGACAGTGTATAGAAGTCTACAGCACGTGCGTTGCAGACTGCAGAAACAACTTGATCAGGTGTGTGCTATTGCGATGGAAAGAAACGGGAACAGTGAAAAGCGTTGCTTTTGACTCAATCAAATTGCGGCATGCCTTGGCTGTGACAAGCTAAGTTATGTGCTGTAAGCCGATGTTACCGTATACGCGTAGCGCTAGAATTCCGCTCCGCCTTGCACTCATGCATCGCATGTGTTTATCATTTGCCAGTCATACCTGGTACTAGAAAACACACACTCTTGGGAGGGTGCACTCCTAAGCAAGATTTTATAGTGCTATACTGACGTCGGCTAAAAGCACAGCTTCGCCTAGTGACTAACAAGGCATGTCGCAGTTGGACTGAGTCGAAAGTCATTCTTCCCGCTGTTCACGTTTCTTTGCCTCTTGACAGTAAGACGTTACGATTCTACTAAACATACGCAGTGCTTGCATGCATGCGTGGGTGTTTTTATCTCCTCTTATTGGCATGAGGCCTGCAAAATAGTACGGCAAGGAGTTTGTGTCGATTATGAAAGACATACATTTTAATTTATTTATTTAATAGTTATAGCGCGCAAATCACTGCTGCAATGCACACAGCTGGCGTTGCGGTTGCATAAACGCACTTAGTGTACTTACTCGTACAATTTTACTGGGCTCAAAACTTTTTCTGTTGATTGCAATAAATGCTTGGCAGCGGAGCTCAGCGTTTTTTGTTGCGGATGGAAACGTGTGCAATCTGAAAACACCGGATTAGCATGATTACCGCGTCTTGTTAGGATTTTCACAGACAGTGCTGAGCAATATCTTCCTCTTGCGCTGATTATTGGTGCCCAGATGACTTCTTGCAAGAGGGAGTGACGTCAGTAGACGCGTCCTCACATTTTATAGTCCTGGAGACGCGACTTGGCATGTTCATTTGGCGCTACAGATACACGTTATAGCAGTTCAAAAGAAGATGGTGTCTGCATGCTAGAGTATGCCCCTGGAAGTCTAGGCCCCTAGGTACGAGATAGGCGTGCTCTGGTCTATAGATGCAAAAGGCGAAAAGATGCCCCAAGCACATCGCTTATGTGCGCACCTGCTAAACAGTTAAAGAAGTCAATTGGGACGTAAATAAGCACAGGAAAAGGAGATCCTTACGTAACACATTCATATATTGAAAAGCTTGGAGGTTCCAGGCTCCTGCAGTGAGCGATGATAGTTGTGTATGTTAACTAGAGGCGTGATTACTTTTTAAGCATTTCAGGAAAGATCACTTTTCTCGTAATAAGTTTAAGATACAGAGCTGTGTAGTGTATCGGGCTGGTTTGTATGTGTTCATTGTATCGAATGGTAGTGTGATCTGTAAACAATAATCGGACGACAAAACAGACAAGGAGAAACACTACAAGTACTTTCTGCTGCTGTGTACTGTGCGCTACAGCGATGGTGAAGTTGCATATAGCTTTTGCGCTTCACTGACATTGGTTGGATAAACTGTTTTATGTGTTGTTTTTATTTTCGTTTATTTCGTTGTTAAACATATATCCGTTCCTTTTTCTCTTTGTACTTCAAGTGGCCGTATAGCGATTCTATTTTTTTGTCTGGTATCGCGGTGTTTCTCTTTTGAACGTTCGTGTTCTCGAGAATAAACGGCCAAACATCGGAGAAGAGCCGTTATAATAATCATGCCGCAGTGTTCAAGGCGTGCCAAATAAGCAGGTCAGCAACTACACAAAGTGCGTTCAATGAACCCTATCCTCCTGCAGCAAGTGCGAAATTTCTTCACCGCCACTAAACCTCTTTTCGCTGTGGCAATATGCGATGTTCGCCAAGATGGAAGCTGCGCCACCTTTGCGCTCTTCGTAAACAACGCAATACGTGCGTGTGATCCTAGAGATAGAGCCCTCCACTACGGCGTCTCTCATAATCATATAGTGGTTTTGGGACGTTAAACCCCACATATCAATCAATCAATCCTAGAGATAGGAATCTTTATTACAAGCTAGCCCCATGCCGTGGCTGGAGACGTATCTTGATTGGTCTTTTTGTTCGGAGCAAGATGTCAGCGTCAAACAGTAGATCGTCACGATTGTTACAGCTGAACACCCTGAAGTTCGTAAGCACCTTCGCCAACAGCACTTTCAACTCCAGCATGGCGAACTTCTGGCCTGCGAATATAGAAAATGAGAAGTGAATTCGCACCGTATAAATACATCTAGTCTGTGCAGTGATGTTCTGAGATTATCCTTAATAAAATAATTAGGAATAAACAAAGACAATACAATGTGCACATATTCAGCCAAGATGGGACATTGATAGTTAGAATACAAATGAACAACTCCTGATCTAAATTAGCATTAACGAGACCACGTTTGTAAATATGGAAATGTATATTGATACGTCACTGTGCCTTCCAGGGTCCTAGAGACCTCCAAGATGTTATATGCGCAGTCGCTGAAGGTGTTTTTGACTTTTTGACTTGTGTGACTAGTTTCTGCCTAAGTTATTACTTTCCCGAAGTATTTTTAAATGTTTCTTTAAGGTCAGCGTCACAGGTCACAAAAAATATAAAAGCTCATTTGTTTCGTTGAATGCCCTAAAGTAACACAGGACCTACGAGGTGCCCTAAAGGGTTGCCTAGCATGAAGTTTGATTAGTTGAGATATTTTAAGGTGTACCTAATAATCTGCACATTAGCGCTCTTGAATACTGCCGTCGTCCGAATGCGGCCGCCCCGGCCGCTTAACAAGCTCACGACGCCGTTCTGACCAACAGAAGATAACAGCCACTGAACAACAAATAACATTATCTGGAGTTTTAATGGGCCAAAACCATGATATAAATACAAGGCTGGCCGTATAGGAGAGGGCTCCAGAAATTTTGACCTTGCGGTGCCCATTTGTGTGCACTGAATTCGTACAATGCATGGGGCCTCCAACAATTCGCTTCCATCTAAGTGCGACCACCGTGGCCAGGATGGAACTCGCGACTTTTGGTTGAGCAGCTGAGCATCGCTACAATTATTCCACCATGGAAGACGAGTTTACCGACAGCTGTGGAGATACTTTGAACATGAAAAGCAAAGAATGATCTATACACGCTTCATGGTCTAAATAAAGCGTCATAAGACGTGAGGAAAGGTGGGGATAAAAATTCGATAAATTATAAGGCAGGAATGCATGTGTTGCCTTACAACAGGCATGTTGCATTTACGCGTCATTTATTGCTCGTCTTTCCACCATACATATCCGGCATGATTTCATCCAACAATGCTTCTGAGTCGTACACGCAGCTGTACCCAAAGACTAAGATGTTGCGCTTTGGAGCTCAAGTTATGGGTTCCGAACCGGCCAAAGCAGCGATATTTACAGCAGAATTCGTTAACATTATTTCACTGCCCATAAAACATGGCCAGGTTGGTCTCAATTATACCGAAATATTGAACTACGTTGTGCAATAAAATTTTATTATGTTGGTGTCTGAAACAAAACTTAGTTTTTATTTTTTTCTGGGTAAGCGCATCACGTGTAACTGTTTTCGAAAGGCGATATATAGGCGTTATAGCACGTTTCTTCGTATGAACTGGGAGATATATAGGCCTACACATCGGCATTTCTCGTTTCTTTATTTTTGCGTTCGTTCTCGTGGTTCACACATCTATGCCTTCACTACATTCATTATGCCTTGAAAGATTGCTTAAATCGCTTCAGCTTTAGGAGATCGCAAAAACGTTTTTTTCAGCTTACAGTGTGATTCTTCCTACACACCTATTCGCGGTAATAAACAGGCGCGAAGGCTGCATACTCTTAACATCTCTGTGGGGGAGGGAAGGTGAACAAGGAATATGGAGGAGAGAACAAAGGCAGGAAGATTAACCGAAAGGCAAAGTAAAATACAGTATCTTGTATTGCAAATAGGCGAGGGGATAGTTGAACAATAAGAAAGTAGAAAAAAGAAAGTGGAGAGATAACGGACGTACCATTGAAGTTGGTCACTATTTAAGTAAACTGTTACGGTGAAGTGACGGCTGCCTTTAAAAAAACACCCCAGTAACAGTGAAGTAGTCGAAGTAAGCTGCAATGACTTCGGAGAGTGACATGGCAAAACTATTTGCTGTAATATTGCTCTTCAATCAAATCGAGCCAATATAATGGCGAGCAAAGGACTCTGTGCATTAGAGCGAAAAACGTCATAGAGAGTCTGTTAAAGTGGGTTGTTCCGTCCACAGTCATCGCACAAGTGATGGAATTTACGAGTGATATTTATGATGGAAAAAAGCTTCATTTAGAATAAGTGACAATTTTTTTTTCTGTAACCTGCACAGATCTGTGCGCAGCATCGAAAACAACGACGTCGTAAATTGACGGAGGAGTATGCCAGAAACATATCAGTGTTACACCTGTGGCGCCGACATGAAGAAAAGCAAGCTGGTGTCTGGAAACAGGAAGCACTTGTGGCTGATATAGGGTAGCTTCTCTAGAGGTCTTCTGTGAAACCTTCTGTGCTCCGGTATTCGCGGAATCTTTTCTTGGAAGTGCGCAATAACTATGCCTCGCAGTGCGTATACACTCACAGAATTACAGAGGTACTCCAAGAGTAGAGAGACTGTGTTAATCTCCCCAGAGTTCTTCAACTCTTGGGGAATGGGGCAGAGTTAACGGCAGAACGTACACAGTAAACATTTTACACCCAAAAGAATGTAAAAAGGGTGCTTTGTCAATAAAGTGCCCTTTTAACACTCTTTACCATCCATCAATGGTCGATATAAAAAAAGCACTCTTTTTGGGTTCTTCCTTCGATAGCACCCTAAAATTGGCTCTAAGGGTGCTCTTGTGCCTGAGAAGGGTAGAGGTGATGATGTATCAGACAGAGTATGCAGCAAAAGAACAACAATTATTTGTATTAACTAGCGTTCTACGTACCAAAAACCACGATATGATTATGATGATCGCCATAGTGCAGAGCTCCAGAGATTTTGACCATTTGGTGTTCTTTAACGGGCACAGTGCACAGGCTTCTAATATTTCGCCTCCGTGTTTATGCGACTGCCTCAGCCGGCATAAAAACCGCGACGTTCGGATTGGCGGCCGAGCAACGTAGCTACTGTACGAATATATGGACCATACATTAAATGAAGGTCTAATTGACTCAGAATGTGTGGAAGTGCTCTCCGAAGACAGCATAATGACAGCAGAAGCAAATCGCGTTTCATCTGTAATGGCAATTTACTGCAATCCATGTTACGAAAGCTTTCCTTAGCTTTGGTCATAAGCTACTTGTTTGCTTTGAAATATGTACACACACATAATGTATGCCCGAGTATATGTGTGTTTGTGTGCGTGAGCCTGCTATTGTGTTCGTGTGTAAGCGCGATTGTGTGTACACTCACGCATGTGTGCGTGCGTGTGTATGTGTGAGTCCGTGCTTGTGTTTAGCGTGCCTGTGCACAAGTGAACGCCCATGCATGTGTGCGTTTACGGTTACGTGTGTGTGTGTGGCCGAATGTGTGTATGCTTGTATGTGTCTGCACTTGTGCATGTGTGTGTGTGTGTGTGTGTGCATGAGCCCATGCGCCCCCAAATTTTGTGGGGGGTGGGGCTCACTGTTTGTCAGTGTTTAAGGTCCCACAGCTGTTCAGGCTGGGAGTCTATAGGAGAGGTGGTTTAAAAAATGGCGTAGGTCAACACTCTGTACCCGGGCCTTTAATTACACGGAAAACAGCTGCACATTCAAACAGCTGCAACGAACTTCCTGCGGTGGCTGATCAGGTACGCTGAGGCACCACTACGCTCGAAGACGTGGGTTGTGACAAATTCACACGGAAAGCTGTAACTGCGCTTATGCACAACCATGGTTTATATTACCAACATTTAACGAGAACGTGCCTTTGATACAAGTGCTTAGGTAGCTCATTTGCCAACCATATGAAACTTTGTATTGATCATGTGGTCAGCAAGAAGTTTGGTAACAACCTCGGCGCATTTCGCGGTGCGTGACAAGCGTTCTAAACATCCGCGACTATATATTGATTTGTATATATTGAACGCATTCAGTGTTTGCGGCACTATATACGGAATTCCCAGACACGAGCAATGCGAAAAACAATTTCTCTGAAGAAAGGTTTAGCAATGCTTTCTCGCTAATCCCACCAAGGACAAAATAATTATGGCTTCTGGTCATTCCAGGGTTCACTTTGTATTCTGTAAATTTTGCTTGTCTATTGTTCGCCGACTCCAGTCGCATTCCGCAAAAGTACTCAAAGAACGCTAGGCTGCCAATTAAACTGCGCCACTGCGTGGCTGGTGGAAAAGAGATTTGCCATTCACAAGGAGTCACTCTTGAAGCGCGATTCAATTGCCTTCCGTGTCGAAGCCGCCACCGTACGCGCCATAGCGTTTGCCTTTCGGCGCCTTCTTGGCGTGTTTCCTGCTCACCCCGGGCAGGGTTTCCCCGGTAACGTCCGGGTAGACAGGGGAAGAGTTGCGTCGACAGCTGCGACGCCACCGCCAGTGCCTCCTTCTATCTCTGTCTCATCCGTCTTTCCAATGCGTTGCGTTGATCTGAAGTATTGGTCGCTGTGAGTTCCAGCGACAGGCGCACCTACGATAGTGGTCCCGCACGGCTACATGTTCGAAGTGACGCTCGGATTAAGGAATATTCATGAAGCGGTGAACACGGACAACGTGGGCTTGTTAACGGTGAGTGTACTGTTTTCTTAGGTAGTAATTACACAGTGCTAGCTGGACGTCTGCAGCAGCTCTGTGGAAGTAGGCTGCGAGCCATTTCCAACAGCATGCGTTTGGGGGGCTGTTGCAGATGCCCAAATAAAGGTGTCACTTAACGAGTTCACACTTCTATGCGCGTTGTTGTGCAAGCGCCTGCATCACTCATACAATGTGTGATGTGATCACTTATCAAGGGCGATTAGTTGCTGATCGCACAATTTCTCTACACTGCTGAAAGGGCTTGATATCATTTCAAGATGCGCTTTAGGCTGCATTGTAATAACATTTCTATCAATAATCGAGTGTGCAACGTGCTTATGCAGGTGTAAGCGTTAAAAAAAGAAAGGAAAAGAAAATATTTATGTACAAAGGCGCACTGTACAAAGATGTGTTTTTTTTTCCTCTTAAAGACGGTATAGTTTGAGGTGCTGATATGCCGCGAT